ACGGGGGGAACACCTGGATGCGCCACTAGGAATACGCAGTTGCACTGCTCTCAAGCAGATAGCAGAAGGAATACAGGCAGATGAGCCTCCGTCTCACTGGGGGGTCAGCTACAGTGCTCACTGAATGAGCCACACAAAAGCAGAGCAATTGGGGGGTTGAAATATGGCGCTCTGATGAAGAAGACTTTGAGCCAATCAGCACCTCAGTGCTAATCTACAGTATCAGGATGCCTTTACACACCAGACACTCGGTGTCATAAAGGGAGGAGGAGAACGAGTCAGGAAGCCTGACGGACATGTTCCTCCAGCTCTCGTACAAAGATGAACTTTGATTTGAATAACCAGATGTTTACAGATGTACAATTAATGATTGTTTTTTATATTTCCAATGACCAAACATGTGTTAAATAGTGGTGATTCATATATTTTTGTCAGATCAGATTACACTTTTGCACTAAACAAAATAAATTAATTAATATTTTCAGATTATAAGGTATTGAATAATAAGGTATTGAATAATAAGGTATTGAATAATATTATAACAGATAATGTTAATATCCTTAATCATCCAGTAATCAGGCTTAACAACACTACTCTGTAATGTATTGTCCATGCACAGACAGACCTACAATGGTGTTTCAAGTACTGGATTAATTTCAGTTTTGGCCCAAAACAAATATTTATAATAATTCATATAACAATTATGTAGCATATTTGATCCTCAAATTAGAGGAGTATAATTTAAAGAAATTGATATTCTATATTCAACATTAGATAAACACAGAAGAACCCTTTCCAAGTACCATAAGTAGATGTTCAGGTAAGTATGGCTAATAAGAATAATTGATAGACTTAATTTGGTACAGATCAGTGGTAGCATTTACAAATGTATGAATTAAAGTTTTAAGAATGTTTAATCTTTCCTTTCCAGGTTTTTACAAAAGTCTTTGAATATTTGCCTAACCTTTCCTTTTCAGATTGTTAAACATTTTGAGAATTGTTTAACTTTTCCCTTCAGATTTTGAAATGACATGATTGATAGTTGAAGTAATGTAATTATGTTATCATGCCATAGTCTTTTGATTTAATATGTAATGCTAACGTAAATATAATCCTAAATTGAAGACACTGCAATTTTGCAGATTACACATTGATTGAGTTTTATACCTTAGCTGTGAATTTGATACCTTAACTGGATCCCTTATGATCCTGATTTTATACCTTAACTGGATCCCTTATGATCCTGATTTTATACCTTAACTGGATCCCTTATGATCCTGATTTTATACCTTAACTGGATCCCTTATGATCCTAAATTTAAAATGCTTTTGACTAGTTATTGCCTTGAAGTTAATCTTTAAACTGCAAGCTGGTTTTGATTTTATAGTTTGATAAAGGAGATTAACTAATGGTTAAATGTTAAAACATATTAGTTTAAAATAAATGTTTTTGTTGTTACGTATCTGTGATTTTATGTGTTCATTATTATGCTTTTGACAAAAGATGCTCCAAACACTGACGAGAGATGATTTCTCTATTATGATTGGCTGTCTCAATCATTGTGATTGAATGTTTCAATCTTATTATGTTGTTATTAATGTGATTGTTATTGATGTAATTCATGTTGTGTAAGTCCACACTCAATTCTGAAGATTCTCATTGATTTAAGTATTGAACACATTCTTATTAAAATAGGGTTTTTTAAGTTATCAAAATTGATAAAAAAAAGAGAGGAACTGTTGGGGAATCATTTGCCCTGCATGTCCTCCTTCGCCCTCTGACGCAGCTGACCAACCTTGAGCAGCCGTTATCTCCCATAAGGAGGGGCTGCCCTAGCATATTGTTGATGTTACCAGTTTGTGACCGGGCAACTCTCTGTCAGAGATAGTTATTGTTGTGGGACACCTGGAACACATCCTTCTCAAGTGTCCTCAGCTGTTTAGTCTATCTATTGAAGAATGTTGATTATTACACTCTGAACTAGTTAAAACCTCGAGCTACAGGAGGGTTCTTCAGAATTGATTGTGGCATCTCAAGAGCTATCTGTATTGTTATTATGTTGCATTGTTGGAGAAGCCTGTGACATAAGATTTTCAACAACATAATTACTCTGTAGCTATGTCAGTTTGACAATAAAGAACCTTGAACCTTGAACCTTGAACTCGTGGCCCGTGACATGTCGTGTGAATTCTCCGGCCGAAGCTCCAAATAAACCGTCAGTGTTTGCCATCAAAGCTCCAGCTCTCCTCGTGTCTCTCTGAGTCCTGACTCCTATTGCTTCAGAAGTTTCCCCCACAGAAACTATATTATCATATAAGCGAGAAGGAAACAGGACAACCCCAGAAAAACTCAAGAGGATCACAAGCGTGTGCAAACAAAAACATCATCTGGGATCCTTTGGTTTCCCAGGGTACGCTGGTTCTTAAAAACAATTTAAGTCAAAAACACTGGAATCCTATCCTAATGTGGACGGTATATAACAGAGTACAATGTAATATAGAATATTATACATCAGCTTTCAATTTAGTTATGAACATTTTTAATCAGGGTTGACAATTCTGCCAGTATATCATAGACTACCCTGCAGCAGCATTTTTACAGATACCACAACCACTGCTGGAGACAGAGATGAAAGAGATGGAGAAACAACAGAAGTGTAAAAATCCTCTTGCTTAGCTGAAGTCACCACGTGGCGACATCTCCCTTAGGTTAAGAATGAACACGACATTAACAGAGAACTACAGTTTGTAGGTTATGCTAGCAACAGGTTCCATGCACCACTTCAGGCAGCACACTAAATCTGAAAGGACATATTTGCAGGCGTAAACAAATAGATTTGACTGGATAACGAACATTGGCACAGGCAACTCCTCCATCACCGGGATCCGGTTGCTTTTTGCAGGAGATGAAACTCATAAAAAACTGATAGACAGACCTTATCACTGGCACAAAGCTGTTTGGTTCGCAACTATCTTATATAGGAGTCATTTGACCTGAAATCTGGGTGAATTCATGGCAACGTAATGGAAAAACACGACTGACTGAATAATTGTCTCAAACCCACACCTCTAGGAAATAGGAAATCCATTAGGAAATTTGTAATTGTGTCTGTCCACGTGTCCTAGGAGATTTCCATCTCCCAGACAAATGGGAGAAATTCCCATAGTGTCAGATATATGTCATATGTTGTGAGAGTAACATTAACCTGCATGATATTTGTCCTTGCACACCAATTCAACACCCAAGAGCTGAAAAGGAAGCTGGTAACAGGAAACAATCCTTAGGGAGAGGCAACTATTGGCTTCTGTATGTCTATGACTAAGCAGCAAGAGTACTAAGCAGCCACAATGCAAGAGAGTGTGTGCTTTGTGAGCACTGATGGGCATACACACTCACAGGTTCACTCTGCTGTCCTAGTTGAAATGCCCTCAATGCCCTCCCTACTCCACCTCTGATGGGCTAGTACTCATCGGCTGCTCCAAGACCACAACTGAGACTCCCTTACATGCAGAAATGACACTCAGTGCCCCTAACCTTCCAGGACCAGAACTGAGGATCATTAATGAGCCCCTGACCTCCAGGACCAGAACGGAGAGACCCTAACCTCCAGAACTCAGAGTCCCTAACCTCCAGAACTGAGAGTCTCAACCTCCAGAACCAGAAATAAGATTCCCTAACCTCCAGGATCAGGACTGAGAGTTAATGTTGCACCCGACAGAGGCAACATTTTCCGTGCCCTGCAGTGGAGCAGTCCTTCGTCAATCCCAGGATTCAGTTCCTGGTGAGCGGACTGCAAGCCAATATAGTCCAGTTGTGAGTCCGGCCCTGAAAAATGTGGCAACAAGCCTCTGACGGAACCAACAGAGCCAAGCCCTCTATCCACGTCCTGCCATAGTTCATCCATTGCGGATGGAGTAGTTCTTTCTAACCTTCTAAATCGGGTCACCAAATATTTGGGCAACTCTAAATAGGGAAACACTTGGTGATACATAGATATGGCAAGATAAAGGAAAAAGAGAGACACTGACTATAGGAAAGAAATCCCAACAGGCGGTGCATTATTTAATGTGGTTCCGTTAACGTGGACATTAAGAACAATATTGTGGCCAATCAGTATCTTGTTGAACAAAGATCTTGCCCTTCCAAGCCTACTGCAGATCTCCCTCTGAGCATCCTGACTCTTCAGCACCAATGCTAATAACACTGCCATAGCTTGTAAGCTAGCTCTTGTTTTGTTTCTTTTTTCCCCGCTGGGGTTAAGCCTACAACTGCTGTCAATCAAACTCGCACACTGCCACGCCCCATCGAGCTGCTGCTAGAAAAAGGATTTCCCCTCAAAACGTATTTATTTCCTTTTAATGGAAAAATTGCAATAATACAATTTTAGAAAAAAAACAGCTGATAACCTTTTGTTAAATGAGGGATGGCCAAATACTCATTTGGTTTCACTTTAATTCAGAATGTGAACTTTAAACCTGGTTTTCCCTGTTGCATGAGGTGCTGCAGACACACAGTATAACCTGCAGCATCTCTCATCACACAGGCTCTGCGGAACATACTGTGTGTGTGAGTGGCTCCTGCATCACACAGAACACAAGCTGGGTCCTGGTTTGACAGAAACATAACCCAGGGAGCCACAATACTCAAGAAGACCCACCGTGTTGACCAGAATGTGGTTAGCCTTGCTGGGACTCTGCACCTGCCACAAACAGGGCCCTGTGGACCGCTTCACTACCAGCACAAATCCCCGTCCGCACATTCTATGGTGCATATCCACGGGAGTGTACAGCCAGAGCGGTTCCCTTCCATCCTTGTGTGGCATTTTCTCTGCCGTTATCTTTTCCCGTAGCCCCTCCTCAAACAGTGAACAATCCGAGCCGCGACAACACACCGTCCGGTCGGTGCGAACAGAGCCGCCGCAGGGCTGTCTGTCTCCGCGGGTTGTGTCGTCGCTGTCGACTAACAGAGAGCCAGGTTTGGACGAACAGAGGCACACTCACCCGCTTTCAGCTGCGATGTTGCTGCAGACTGGAGGTCCGCTCCGCCGCTGCCACACCATCCTCCATCTTCCCTGTAGCGGCTGCTGTCTCTGGATATATGTGTGTGTGTTGATGTGTGTGTGTGTCTGTGTGTGTGTGTGAGAGCTCCCAGCCCCTCCCTCCGTCACCGTCAAATAATCACAGGACACAGCCTCTGCACTGTTGGTGTAAAGTAACAGTAAAAGTAAATGTACTACTGAAGTACAATTTTGAGGGTCTTGTACTTTACTTGAGTATTTTAGTTGTTTGCTACGTTGTACTTCTACCCCACTACAATTCAGAGGTCAATCGTGTACTTTTACTCCACTACATTTATTTAATAGCTTTAGTTACTTTACAGATAGATGGATTAATGATGTGAGATATAATCAAGTGTTAAATCAGACTTTAGTTCCACCTGGAGTAAATTCACAAGCTACCCTGCAGTATACAAAGTCATTCAAACTAGCTGCACCTTTACCAGCTTTGAGAACACTTTAATGATCAATCATTATAAAACATATCATATATATTATTCTGAAATGGACCAATCTGCACAATGAGTACTTTTACTTTTGGTACTTAATGTTTTTGTTGCTAATACTTTTGTACTTTTACTTGAATAACATTTTGAATGCAGGACTTTTACTTGTAACAGAGTATTCCTACACTCTGATACTTCGACTTTTACTCAAGATCTGAGTAGGCCTACTTCTCCACCTGAGGACCTGGATACAGTCTCGACGCACTCTGGAAGATTTGCAGCACTTTCACTTTGTGTAAAAAAAAAAGTTATATCAGACAATTAGGTCACTGTGTAAAACCATAGAGAAACTGATGTGTAAATGTCATTATTTCCAATAATTCCTATCATAAGGCTTTATTTCACTTTTTGTATTTGACTATTATTATTTTATTTTTTTGTAAATGCATCAGTGATAGGGTTTTATCGATATGTTCATTCAAAAGTTTAAGGGGATTCCCCATCTTATTTTTCTCATTACAAATCCTGTTTAAAGGACATTTAGATGTCAAAACGTATTCAAAGCAGTGAATGGGCTAGAACCTTGAAATCAATAGAGCGCAATTTTTAAAATGTATATCAACCTCTTGATCTAACTATAATTTAACATAGTTGTGTTCTTTTTTAGTTCATTGATGAGAAAAAGGGTTAATTATTGCAACCTTACCATGCTTAGGTGCCAATAACAAAAAAGGCAATTTATATTCTGGGAAAATTAAGTAATACATTTAACACATGCTAAATCATATATACATTTGATCTTTTTACTAAAGAAAAAAAACATTTTAAAACCACTTTTTCTACATTTTGTCTAAGGACAAGTATATAGCACAACAAGAGAATGTTTTAGCATTTTTTACGCATGGACTTTTTGAAATGTTATAGGTGGGACAGAAAATGTCCTCCAATTCTGGAAAGACGCATAACATAAAATACATTAATAAATATTCCACTGGTGAATGTAGTGTCCTAATAACAGCAGTTGCTAACTAATTGAGACTACTAACCATCACCACACCAAACATTAGCCGCCTTTAGCTTAGCGGTGATGCACAGCCAAGCAACTGATGTCGTTCTTTTATAGCCAAAAATTTGCTATTTACTTCTGGCAATTGCATTTAAGCTTCAAAAATTATATAATTGGTGTTAATAAAATTAATTCAGAAGCAAAGCTCGTTTTTGCTTTTCATCATGGTTATTGACAGTAGATTGATGAGGCTGTGTTAGGGCTGTATGTTTCTCTGTTTTCCCTTCAGTAGCTCTGTTGCTGTTCAGTACAAAAACAGTTAACACTTTGAGAAATAGTTTTCGAAATGGGGAATAAAAGGTTTTGTGGTCATTACTGTAAAAAAAAAGAATTCATTTTTACATGATTTTGTTGATATGTAGAGATACATGTGCACAGACCCTCCTGGAAGACATTTGTGTTGTTGCGCTCAGGGAAAAGTGACAGCAGTTGTGAGTAAAATAATAATAATAATAATAATGCATGGGATTTTTATAGCGGTTTAACTAATGCTCAAAGACGCTTATGAGAGTAAAGAGAATAAGAAAAGGATGCTTGTGACTAGAGATACAGATATCAGACAAGCTACAAATTGAAAATAAAAAGCAGGAAATCATACCTTTATCCCAGATGATATTTATTATCTTGGTAAGCAAATGACAAAACACTGAAAGTGAAGATAAAAGACTCTATAAATAAATAGAAAATGAATGAGATGCTAGGGATTATTCATGGGGGACATACATAAGTAAACTGAAGAATAAATTAGAAAAAAACAAAAGCTACATTATTCTTTTAAAAGCTTGTTGAACCTTTAAAAAAACTTTTCTGCATAGATAGTCTTGTATTCAAAGTGTGTGTACTTAGGTCTGCAAGGTTGTTAAAATACCCCCATCGTACAGTTCTGATATGCACCCGTTCTTGGTTTACAAACTTAAAGAATACACGGCTCAAAAAATACTAGTTTCAAGATTTCCTATGATCATGTACACAGTGATCTGAGGTGACAAAGCATCTTACTTCATAACTCTTACATTGTAGTTTCTAAGAGAAGGTACAAAGTGGTAAGGGTTACATGGAAGCTGATGGAGACGGTGGAATGGGGAGCTTGACTAGCGTCTGCACAGTGGAAACCAAACGCAGCATATCGTCTCAATGTAGCCAATCAGAAGGAACCTCTACATACTACACACACTGCATCCGGGGGCCCAATGGGACGCCAATGCTCCTGCACATTTAGATGTGATCTGAGATGCATGTGAATACATAGTCTAGTTGCCACCTCGTAGAGTACTATTGTGAACCAGGATATATTGGGTACCCCAAAGCTTCATGTTAGAAATGTATAGTACGGGTCCCCAGCAAACTGCCAGATGCTAACTTGCATATGCTGGGCAATTTGCACAATTAGCATAAGCATTCATTACCATTATGACAACAGTTTAAAAATAGCTTGGCAGATTTGGACAATTTTGAAGTGGTATTGGAGGTTATTGAGGATGCCAAATACATTTCTGACATTTTCCAGATAAATAATGGCAGTTTATACCAGAAAATGTACATATTTGTACTCTCTTTGGGCTGGTTTTGATACATTTTTGGTCGATTTTGAAGTTTTAGTGGATTCTGGATCATTTAATTGTCCACACTAGAGAGAATCATTTTATTCTTGTGCCAACGAGAGTACAAATATTGGCATTTTCTGGTTAAAACATTTTTTATCCTAAAATGGATTCAGCATCCTCAGCCCACAAAACCATGCAAAAATGATCCAAAAATGTCCTTTTTTTTTTTTTAAATAATGTTTACATATAGGCTATAATGCCATTCAATTTAATTAACGCAACGTATGCTAATTGTGCATATGCAAGTTAGCATCCGGCAGTTTCTATGTGCTTTGGATCCGTACTATTCATTTCGAACATAAAACTTTGGGACACTCAACATTTCCGGGTTCACAATGCAGGCAACTAGACTATATCGTGAATGCTAATGTAACAAATTCCTCCGTGTTATTGTGTGTGTTTGTTACCTTGTGTGACGATATATTAATTGACAAAGCTAAACAAATAGTGAGAAGGACCCATAACGTCCCAAAACGATAGATCCTATTCAAACTGAAGTCCAGTATATGTTCTAACACACCATTCTTTCCTCATTAATACAGATGAGACAGTGTGGTGAGAGGAGCTAGCATTTACACCTTCTACATTACAGAGTGGTGCAGGAGTGAGTCCAAAATCCTGGAAATGAGTTAGCATGTTACCACTTCCTGATCCCTCGTCTAAGGGGTCAACCGTTTATTAAACACGTTTTTGGTTAGATATACCGAAATAAGGTATGTGATGAAAGCAAGCTGAAGAGATTTTCCAAAAAAGAATTACGACTTAAAATACGTCAGTAAAAGCCCCACTAGTGAATTTTGGAAGCTTCTGTGTCACAAAAACAGCTGCTGCCAACAAGCGTCTAAATGAGACTAAGGTCATTACACTTAACATTAGCCGCCATTAGCTTAGCGGTGGTGATGTGAAGTCATGTGACCGCGCTGTAGCTTACAGACTAACGTTAACTTTTTACTTCTGGCAGTTGCATTTAAGCTTCAAAAAACATAAAGTGGTGTTAATATGTGGAGATTATCCTGCAGAACAAATGTGTAAGTATCAATAACTTTAGTTTGATCTTATTTTCTATCTTTTTATCCAAAGGAAAAATCCCATTGCTTTTAGTCGAGTGAGCCCTTGCAATGCTAACTTCCGTTACTGCACCACTCTATTGAAGGGATGAACTGTGCAGCATGTTACAACTTTTAAAAGAGTGTTAGAAGTTATTCCTTAACACAAATACAAAAAGGTAGACCGTGACCTTTTTCATGTTACCTCTATTTTTGTACAAGGTAGTAACACAAAGCAGCAAGGACTAATGTTAACAAGCTTGGTGCAAAATAACAGACAATATTTTCAAAAATAGTCAGTAAGTCAATAGTACCCCACATGATTGCCTATTATCATCAAATAGTCCAAAGTGCTGTTCAGTGTTGCACACTACACACCTGTAACAGATGAAGTAGGTGTAGAAACGGCAGCATGTAGCACCACAGAATGTCGGGGGGGGGCCACCTCCCCCGCTCTTTATCCTTCAAGTCAAACATCAGTGCCGCTAAACTGCTAAAGCTAACATTTCTCTGCTTATATATTAAGTGCTTCAGGTTGCCAGAAGGTAAGACTTTGCAAGTTAGCTATGACTTTACACATGGTAAACATAACGTTATATTTAGCTAACTAATAGCTTTTTTGGCTTTCTGTTGCAAGCTACTGTAACTTAGCACTTAGCTACATAGATAGGAGTTAGTGACAATATTCAGCAGAGAAATTGACCAGGAGCAGCAAACCAAGGACCCACAGAACGGAAAAGAAGAGAACATGACATGATTAATAAATGTTACCACCTTCAGAACGGAAAATTAAGGAAGTTTGAAGGAAAACCGGGGTGTGCTTAAACCCTGTCACTGCAAGGAATGAGGGCCAAGGGATCCCATGATCCTCTGCGTCAGGTCTCTGGAGCACCAGTCAGTATGCATGTCTCATCGAGAGAACGCTGGAACCTAAATAATGCAATGTGCAAAGTGAAGTTTTCCTATTGTTGTTCTTATTTTTCATATTCCCCCTCAGCTTTCACTTTAGAATTAAGACTTTTGAAAGAAGAGAAAAACTTAAATAAAACTGTTATTGTAAAATAGTAAATTCATAATAATAAATTGAGGTTTAATAATTATTAAACTATTTCACAAATGATTGTGTCATTTATTTATCCTACTTTATTTATTTATGATTATTTCATTTGTTAAGTGAGATTTTTCGAGAGTTAGAATGCATGCACATTCTGCTTTGTGCTCCTCCTGTGGCAGCTGCATTTCTGAAATACTGAAACCAAGTAAGATGTGCAGAAGAGTGCCGAACTGCCACTAACAGAAGCAGTGGCAGTTTGACCTGAGGTGACCTGTGGTGGCCACATCGTGAACATTTCCATTCTGAAGGGGTGCTGGCTCAGATGAAGCTCAAGAGAATCCAGATGTGTCAGAGAAGGAACAGACTGGGCGTGGTCAAACTCCCCCACGCTCTCACTGTCAGGAGGAGAGTCGCCGCGCTGCATCGGACACACTGTCAGTGAGTCAGCTGATCCTAAATCTGTGTCTAAAGGCAACTTCAATGTTGAGAAACTGGATGGGGTTCCCTGTTCTCCGTCAAGGCTGCTGACCGATGACAGTGTCTAACCACTTCTTGTATGCCAGGGCGAAGCGTCTCTGCTCGGGGTTGCAGCAGCCGTCCAGAAAGCCGCTCACAAAGCTGGGCTCAGAGGGCAGGGCGGGGGGGCTGGGCGGCAGGACGCCTGTCTTTAGTCGTTTGCTGTCCCGCGGGTCGGGCAAGGACGCCCCGTCGACCTCCATAGCTTCAGCAGCGTGGCCCTGTCCGTTCACACCGCCCCCTCCACCTGCAGAGCTCTGAGCGCTGAGCGTGGGGGGGGCAGGGTCCCCGTTACTGCTGAGGACCTCCGACCTGCTCTCTCCGTTTGTGCTGCCCTTCTGCTGCTGCTCCTTCCTCCAGTGGTGCCACAAGTAGAACACGTGCCTCCTAGAAGGGATGGAAACATACATTCAGTTATGAACAGTGCTGGGGGTTAGGTGCTGCAAAGTAACATGTTACAGAAATCAGATTACATTTATCTTAGATAATTACTCAGACTATCTGCATAACGGGAGGACAGAACAATAAATAAAATGTCCCTTTTGGCTTGCGCTACACTCAGAGTTCATGGATGAGGAGACGGAGCAAAAATCTGTTTCATAGCAGAGATAAACAGTCGCAGCGTACAGCATGGAGGACATGTTCGCCATCTTTCAGAAACATATTGATACAGGTAACGCGGGGGGGCGGCCCCCATCAGACAGGAACACCTGAAGCTACCTGGACCAGAGCTCTGATAACTGAGCTACAGAAACCGATGTTCAGACAAAGAGCAGAAACAGAGCTCTGTGTTCAGTCCTGTCCTTATTAGATTAAAGGGCCCATGTCATGCTTTTCCGGTTATTACCCGTCCCCTTGTGTGTTATGAAGGTTTTTATGCATGTAAACGGTCTGCAGAGTCACAAACCCTCAAAGTACACCCTGTAGCGAGTAAAACTCTAACACAGAAAATACCTCCCCAAAACGCCTCGTTGGAGATACGTCATTGTCCATTTGATTCTTCCATTTCGTTCCGGGTACGGCATGATGTCAACGAAATGGACCAATCCGTGGAGCCGTTACGTTACGTCCGCGGAGCCGTTACGTTAAGCCCCCGCTGATTGGTCCAAATTGACCAATCCACGGACTTCCTCACACACACATCTGTGTGCAGGGAGCAGGCAGCTCAGCTGATTTCTCCTCCCTGGCTGCAGGCTGATAACAGACAGTTGGGATCGTGGCGAAATTCTCTCTGCAGACCCATTCTCACAGCGTTTATCAACCTTTTTCTGACTCAATATCAAGCCACACTTATTGTTTTTACTCCGGCTGAGTTTGGCTGTGTTTCGCTGTGTATCGCTAACAAGGAAACAACACCTCCACGGAGCTCAGCGCGATTCACAACGTCCCGACCAATCAGAGCACACTGTGCTCACAGGGAGGGTGGGGGCTGGAGCTATTGGAGCTCCAACGAGCCGTTAAAGGCAGAGAGTGAAATTCAGTGAATACACGTAGTTTACAGAGATGCTGTATGAGAAACCAATGTGAGTTTGGAACAATGCACAATATAAATCTATTCTAGTAGACCTCAACAATGGAATTATGATCAGTGGAAATGGCCATGACATGGGCCCTTTAAGGGTTTGTGCTGATCTGGCAGAAATGAGGTTTAACTTAATATTGTCATTTGATTTGTGGTGCTTATCAGGCGATGTTATAGAGTAATCCACAAATAATGTAACTAGTAGTGTAACTAATTACATTCAGCAGTGAGTAATTATTACTAATATTACTTATTTTTAATAATAACTAATATTATCGTGGCATAACATGGCGTGATGTTTTAAATTGGGATCTGTACCAAACAAATATGTTTTGTTAAGTCTTCATAATATGTATTGTAGGCGGGGATATCTCTGCAGCACCACAATACTCCATTGGATATGGTATTTTAAATAGTGCTAGTGTATTTGTTACAAATAGGAATTGAAGCATTTTTATTTAAAGAAACTTGTTTTTAGAAAATATTTGAAACAAGTTGATGTGTACACTTGTTTGAGGAATCATTTATAGACAGCTAAAAACACAGACTATTTTTTGCAATCAACAAATAATCAGTTAATAAGTTAATAATGCATTTTGTGTAAAAAGCCAAATGTTTGGCTGTAGTACACACTATTTCGAGGAGTAACTGTAGAAATTATTATAAATGGTGAAAAAAGTTCCAAGAAATTGTATTCAAAGACAGTTCTTCAGTTTATCTACCAAGATATAGTCACCCACAGCATTTGACAGGTTTGAAAGTCGCAAACAGAGGTGGAAGTATTCAGATCTCGTACTAAAAGTACCAGACTGTAGGTATAGTCTGTTGCAAGTAAAAGTCCTGCATTCTAAATGTTACTCAAGTAAAAGTACAAAAGTATAAAAGTATTAGTATACAAATAAACTTAAAGTATTAAAAGTAAAAGTAGCCATTGTGCAGATTGGTCCATTTCAGAATAATATATATGATATGTTTTATAATGATTGATCATGAAAGTGTTCTCAAAGCTGGTAAAGGTGCAGCTAGTTTGAATGACTTTGTATACTGCAGGGTAGCTTGTGAATTTACTCCAGGTGGAACTACAGTCTGATTTAACACTTGATTCGATTTACCATCATTCATCCAGATCTGTAAAGTAACTAAAGGTATTAAATAAATGTAGATGAGTAAAAGTACACTATTATAACATTGAAATACTTAATTCCAGTACAAGAATCTCAAAATTGTACTTGAGTACATGTACTTAGTTACTTTACACTGCTGGTCGCAGATAGTCAGATCTTACAAATGTGAAAACCATACGACACCAGCAAATAAAAAGCAACAGAAGTAAGTCACCGGAAATGGACAAATGTCCGTTACGGCCCCCTTTGAGGGCTCACCTGTGACTCCAGAGGGTCTCGTGCCCGGGGAAGGACTGGATGAGGTCTGAGCACAGCTCCATCTCCTGGTGGAACAGCTGTAGGACTGTGTTGGCGCTCAGCTGCCACTCCTCATCGGCGGCTGCCTCTGCTTCTGACAGCTCCCCGTTGGCCTGGCTGTGGTGGAGACGGCTGCTGCTGCTGGGGGCTGTGCTGCACCGCTGCTGGGGGGAGGAGGTGGAAGCTGGAGTCTGGGAGAGCTCAGTGATCAGCGCCTTGAGCAGGAACTGGCGGTAGTGGAAGCCGCTGTGGTCGGACACGTGCATGGACACCCACAGGCGCATGGAGGACAGCTCATCATGGAGAACCTGGGATACAATACATTCCATAATCATTTATTATCAGATCAAGTATGACATTTGACTTGCATCACAGCAGCTTCGTTTGCAACATGAAACAAGGACACATCTCAAGACACGATACAAGCAAAACAAACATTTGACATAACATCATGATCACTGAAGAGAAAAGAAAAAAATGACCCTTTAGCGTTCATTTGACTTGAAGGAGTGCTTCAGCCTGACTCTGTTAAATCGCCGGCCCTGTATCTCTGATTTGATGGTACCAATTCATATTGACTGTTCAGAACATGGCTGGGGTCAAAGATGATGTTAATATGTTATTATATTATTGTTGTGGACAACAGCCCACCGACAGACAATGGAGATTCGCTGCCTGTTGCTGTCGTACCTGAGAGACGCAGGAGGAAGACAAAGCGGGGGTCCCGCGCCGGGCTGCAAGTCAGACTGAGGAAACGAGGAAACCGACCCCTCTTCCGAGTATTCTTCTGGCTAATGTTCAATCCATTGAAAATAAGCTAGATGAACTCAGAAGTCGGATTGCTTTTCAACGGGACATTAAGAACTGTAACGTGTTCATTCTCACTGAGACTTGGCTGAACCCCGCTATCACGGACTCCGCCATCGTTCCTGAGGATTCACTATTTTTCGCCAGGACCGGACAGTTAACTCGGGGAAAAGTAAAGGAGGCGGTGTCTGTGTCATGATAAACAATAACTGGTGCACAGATGTGAGGATTATTTCTTTGGACTGTTCCGCTCATTTAGAGCACCTCATGATCACATGCCGGGCTTTTCATCTGCCGAGAGAATTCACATCTGTCGTGATCACAGCAGTGTATTTTCCGCCGCTCGCCGACAAAAACACTCGATCAGCTGTTTGGGATTATCGACAAGACCGAGACTTGACGGCCAGAGGCGGCGTTCGTTGTGGCCGGGGATTTTAACACCGTTCATTTGAAGAAAATCCTGCCGAGATACTTTCAACACATCAGCTGCCCGACGCGCGGGGGAAACATACTGGACCATGTTTATTCCCCTTTTCGACATGGATACAAGGCTCTCCCTCTCCCTTGCCCTCCCTTCGGCAAATCAGACCACATCTCACTGCTGCTGCTGCCTGCTTACAAGCAGAAACTCAAACGGGACAGACCGGTGACAAGGACAGTACAACGCTGGAGCGAGGAGTCAAACTCTGCAAGACTGCTTTGCATCTACAGAGTGGAGTGTGTTTGAGGACAATAACAACACACACACGGATACGGTCATTTGCTACATTGGGAAATGCATCGATGACGTGGTACCGAAGGTTACTGTACGAACATTCCCGAATCAAAAGCCCTGGATAAACGGCGAGGTGCGTGGCAAGCTGAAAGCGCAGGAAATCTAGTACAGGAAATCTAGGTATGAACTCCGGAGAGCAATTAGCAGCAAAGAGACAATACAGAGACAGAGTGGAGTCTGACTTGAAAGGCTGTAACACCCGGAACATGTGGGCGGGACTAAGAACAATGACAGACTACAAAGGAGCAGCGGGGGGTGCTGCGGGAGTGTCTGCGTGCGCATCTCTCCAAGATGAGCTGAACAGTTTTTTTTGCACGATTTGAGAGCAGCCAGGCTGTGGAGGCACAGAAGGACCAGGAGCCCTGCCCTTTTGTTTTAAACAGGGCAGATGTGTGCAAATCCTTTAAAAGGGTTAACCCACACAAGGCTCCTGGACCTGATGGCATCCCTGTCCGGGTTCTCAGGGTGTGTGCAGTTCAGCTGGCAGAGGTGTTCAACAGGTCCCTGCTGCAGTCTGTAGTCCCCACATGCTTCAAACACTCCACTATCGTTCCTGTCCCCAAAAAGACAATAATCACCAGCCTCAATGACTACTGCCCAGTAGCACTCACCTCCATCATTATGAAGTGCTTTGAGCGGTTAGTCAAAACCTTCATCACCTCCTCCCTCCCTGACTCTCTGGACCCCCTGCAGTTTGCCTACAGAGCAAACGGGTCCACAGACGACGCCATAGCCCTCACCATCCACACTGCCCTCTCACACCTGGACCAGAGGAACACATATGTGAGAATGCTGTTCATTGACTACAGTTCAGCATTCAATACCATTGTGCCCTCCAAGCTGGCCATCAAGCTCAGAGACCTCAGGCTCAACAGCGCCCTCTGTGACTGGATCCTGAACTTCCTGACGGGCGGTGCGGGGCGGGGCGTGGTTTGCAATTCGCCCAGCCAATCAGCACTGGGGCACTTTTTTCCCCACAGGAAAGTACGATCTCTCAGCGGCCACTAAAAATGGGGGTAAAAGTTCCCGAGATTAAGTACGCTTTTTGGTGTGAACGCGACATAAGGGGTACTAACGGAACTAAACGCGAAAAGTACGGTGAAAAGTACTCCGGTGTGAACGCGGCTATTGTGCCCTTCAAGCTGGCCATCAAGCTCAGAGACCTCGGGCTCAACAGCGCCCTCTGTGACTGGATCCTGAACTTCCTGACGGGCAAACCCCAGGCAGTGCAGGTGGGAAACATCACATCCTCCACCCTGATCCTCAACACCGGAGCCCCTCAAGGCTGCGTGCTCAGCCCTCTCCTCTACTCCCTGTTCACTCACGACTGCGTGGCCACACACAGTTCCAACACCATCGTGAAGTTTGCTGACGACACGACTGTCATCGGCCTGATCACCGACGGCAACGAGACGGCGTACAGAGAGGAGGTCGAAAACCTGACATCTTGGTGCCAGGATAACAACCTCCATCTCAACGTCAGCAAAACCAAGGAGCTGATTGTGGATTACAGGAAGCAGCAGAGAGAGGGACACGCCCCCATCGCCATCAATGGGACTACGTGGAGAGAGTCAGCAGCTTCAGGTTCCTCGGGGTCCACATCACCGAGGACCTGACATGGACTCTTCACACCACCACCATCACCAGAAAAGCTCGACAGCGGCTCTTCTTCCTCCGCAGGCTGAGGAGGTTCAACATGGACTCCAGGATACTCTGCAACTTCTACAGGTGCACCATAGAGAGCATCCTGACCTTCTACAGGTGCACCATAGAGAGTATCCTGACCTTCTACAGGTGCACCATAGAGAGCATCCTGACCTTCTACAGGTGCACCATAGAGAGTATGACCTTCTACAGGTGCACCATAGAGAGCATCCTGACCTTCTACAGGTGCACCATAGAGCATTCTGACCTTCTACAGGTGCACCATAGAGAGTATCCTGACCTTCTACAGGTGCACCATAGAGAGCATCCTGACCTTCTACAGGTGCACCATAGAGAGCATCCTGACCTTCTACAGGTGGCACCATAGAGAGCATCCTGACCTCTACAGGTGCACCATAGAGAGCATTCTGACCTTCTACAGGTGCACCATAGAGAGCATCCTGACCTTCTACAGGTGCACCATAGAGAGCATTCTGACCTTCTACAGGTGCACCATAGAGAGCATCCTGACCTTCTACAGGTGCACCATAGAGAGCATCCTGACCTTCTAACAGGTGCACCATAGAGAGCATCTGACCTTCTACAGGTGCACATAGAGAGCATTCCTGACCTTCTACAGGTGCAACCATAGAGAGTCTCGGACCTTCTACAGGTGCACCATAGAGAGCATCCTGACCTTCTACAGGTGCACCATAGAGAGCATCCTGACCTTCTACAGGTGCAGTCCATAGACGCGAAACCCCAGCCCGCGCATAAGAGGCATCCTGACCTTCTACAGGTGCACCATAGAGAGCATCCTGACCTTCTACAGGTGCACCATAGAGAGCAATCCTGACCTTCTACAGGTGCACCATAGAGAGAGCATCCTGACCTTCTACAGGTGCACCATAGAGAGCATTCTGACCTTCTACAGGATGCACCATAGAGAGCATTCTGACCTTCTACAGGTGCACCATAGAGAGTATCTGACCTTCTACAGGTGCACCATAGAGAGCATTCTGACCTTCTACAGGTGCACCATAGAGAGCATTCTGACCTTCTACAGGTGCACCATAGAGAGCATCCTGACCTTCTACAGGTGCACCATAGAGAGCATCCTGACCTTCTACAGGTGCACCATAGAGAGCATCCTGACCTTCTACAGGTGCACCATAGAGAGCATCCTGACCTTCTACAGGTGCACCATAGAGAGCATCCTGACCTTCTACAGGTGCACCATAGAGAGCATTCTGACCTTCTACAGGTGCACCATAGAGAGCATTCTGACCTTCTACAGGTGCACCATAGAGAGCATTCTGACCTTCTACAGGTGCACCATAGAGAGTATCCTGACCTTCTACAGGTGCACCATAGAGAGCATTCTGACCTTCTACAGGTGCACCATAGAGAGCATTCTGACCTTCTACAGGTGCACCATAGAGAGCATTCTGACCTTCTACAGGTGCACCATAGAGAGCATCCTGACCTTCTACAGGTGCACCATAGAGAGCATCCTGACCTTCTACAGGTGCACCATAGAGAGCATTCTGACCTTCTACAGGTGCACCATAGAGAGCATCCTGACCTTCTACAGGTGCACCATAGAGCATTCTGACCTTCTACAGGTGCACCATAGAGAGCATCCTGACCTTCTACAGGTGCACCATAGAGCATTCTGACCTTCTACAGGTGCACCATAGAGAGTATCCTGACCTTCTACAGGTGCACCATAGAGAGCATCCTGACCTTCTACAGGTGCACCATAGAGAGCATCCTGACCTTCTACAGGTGCACCATAGAGAGCATCCTGACCTTCTACAGGTGCACCATAGAGAGCATCCTGACCTTCTACAGGTGCACTATAGAGAGCATCCTGACCTTCTACAGGTGCACCATAGAGAGCATTCTGACCTTCTACAGGTGCACCATAGAGAGCATTCTGACCTTCTACAGGTGCACCATAGAGAGCATTCTGACCTTCTACAGGTGCACCATAGAGAGTATCCTCACCTTCTACAGGTGCACCATAGAGAGCATTCTGACCTTCTACAGGTGCACCATAGAGAGCATTCTGACCTTCTACAGGTGCACCATAGAGAGCATCCTGACCTTCTACAGGTGCACCATAGAGAGCATCCTGACTGGCAGCATGACGTAAGACTCTACAGAGGGTGGAGAAAACTGCACAGAACATCACCAGGACGGAGCTGCCATCCATGGAGGACCTTTACTCCCAGCGGCTCAGGAAGAAATCCCTCCGGATTATAAAAGACCCCCATCACCCCAGCCACAAACTGTTCTGTCTGCTGCCGTCTGGCAGGCGGTACCGCAGCATCCGGACTAAAACCACCAGACTCAGGGACAGTTTCATCCCACAGGCAATAAGACTATTAAACACCTGAACTGTTGAAACAACATCCATAACATTCATCTGGCTGCTACTTAGAAATTATTTATCTAATATATCATATTTCATTTTTCTTTTTGTATTTACTTGCACTATATTTTTCAGCTTATCTGTTTTATTGTGTTGCTCTGTTGGAGGAGCCTGTGACCTAAGATTTTCATCGTCATAACTACACTGTAGCTATGTTCGTATGACAAATAAGAACCTTGAAACCTATTATGAAGGCTGATTCATAGATTCTCTCACAGGGTTGACCTACAATTTTTGAGCAGAATTTTAACTGGTGGAGCAGTTTTCATTTTAAAGTGGTAGACAAACACTTGTACCATGTAGTATTGTAATACACTGAAAAAAACGGAAACCTTGAATTTCATTTATATTTATTTATATATGTCAACAAATTTCACATTACTGTATTAGTTTAGTTGAAAGCAATAATATTAAGTTGAACCTAATATTTTTTATTTAAACTTAAAATGATTGCTTTCAACTAACCTAATACAGTTATGTTAAATCTGTTGACACTCTTTTATCACAATAAAATTCAATCTTAAAACAAAAAAAATATATAAAAAGCATCTCTTCCTGATCCTACCTTTACGTTGCCCTGGCCCATGTGCTGCAGCACCCAGATGCGGTGGGACCATGCGTTGTAGTTGCTGGGGTAACGGCAGGCGGCGTCGGAGCACACCTTCATCTCCTGGTGGAGCGTCCGGGCCAGCTGCTGGCTCCTCTCTGCATCCCCCCGCTCTGCGTCCCCCCGCTCTGCGTCCCCCCGCTCTGCCTCCCCCTGCTGAGGCTTCTTGCTGCGGTCCGCTGCAGAGCACTGACCCAGGATCTGCTGCAGCACCCAGCGCCTAAAGGGAAACAACCACTGCTGGGTCAGCACCTTCAGACACTGGTGTACGCTTACTTTTTACCATACTTCAGGTACTTCTAAAAGGAAGGCATTGGAGAGTCTGAGTGTCCTTTATAAAATGAAAAGGCAGTCACTGATGTATGTAGGGGCAAGGTTATGTAAAGCCATGATACAATTTAACAATAGCTCTCCTCCTGCCACTAGAGGTGTGAAGTCCCCATTAGTCAGAGCAGCCAAAAGGGAACTTTATTTTATAGTCACACAGCAGAGGGCAGGTAAACAAGTTTGAATTTGAAACAGGAGACAAAGTGTCTGATGGAAATTCAGGACTATAAGTTCCAATTTTGACATCGGGTTGTTTTGTGTCTGCGCCTCAGTATTATAAATAGACTAATAATGTATTAACAACACAAAACATATTATTATGTAATGGTTGTTCTAAGCTAAAATAATGCTTATGTGCGTGTCCTTCTTGTCTTTATAGAAACAGGGATCTAACAACCTGTTTCCAATACAGAAACGTATACAGGGCCACAGGACCTTTACCTGCGTTTAAATAGAGTTTCTCGATCTAAAATTAGACCATAGTTCTCCAGCTTTGGAAGCATCACGTTGATGGCACAGTGACTATTGGGGCAGAGTTTGTTGTTGAGTGGTCAAACCAAACGTTTGGACTGCTTCAACTTGTGTACAGCTTCGTTGCAGGATACAGAAAGAATAATTATTGGAACTAGAAGTGGATTTTTTTTTGTAGTGCCTTTTGAAAACAAGCTTTATCCTTAACTTCCCGACTACTTTTCGCCAAAAGATAAAGAGAGTGTGTGCAATGAGCTCAGAGTACGGGGGGGAAAGGGAGCCGAGAGAAGGAGCTGCCATTAAGACAAAAATATTTGGGTATTGTTTCATTATGGCGATATTATAAAACAAAAATGACTGTGCAAGCACTTGTTGTCAATGATCTTCTCTACCTCTGCATCATCAGTTGCCATCTAATTAGCTTACTGTATTAGGTTGATGTCATTTGATAGAAAAAGGGAGTAGTTTGGTTCCTGTGACCAATGTTTGACTGACTCACATATTTACCAGCTTCCAATCATATCAACCACAACATTGTAGTCACTGTAATGTGCAGGAGTGAATCTGACAATGTGGAGAAGCAGCAAAGTCTAACCTGTGTATCCATGTCTCCGGGCTCTTGGGGAATTTGGTGAGGGCGAGCTGGCCCAGGTAGAGGTCTTTCTCTGGGTTAAGGACTCCGCATTGCAGCAGCTCCTTCCTGCAACAACAAGCAGCCATGCATCACTACCAGTGTTGGCGTAGTTACTCAAATAAAGTAATGCATTACACATAGTAGTCCTTTAAAAAAAAAGGTAATGCCTTTCTTTACTTCGTTACTCACTGCTGAAAGTGATTAGTTACACTACTAGTTAGATTACTTTTTGTGATGACTCTGTAACATCGCCAGAGAAGCACCATACATCAAATAACAAATAACAATATAAAGTTGAACTTTATTTCTGCCAGATCAGCACAAATCCTTAATCTAATAAGGACAGTACTGATCACAGAGCTCTGATGTTTGAACATCGTGTTTTCCAGCTAGTGGAGCACGCTCATGACCTGTTAGCAAAACAGGTAAAGGAGGGGCCGTTGTCCACTAGTTAATCGATCACGGATGGCGTCGTGCTCGCGGAAGGATAAAACATTTTAAACCTAAATGGGTCACGAAATATACTTTGGCGGACGTTAATATAACTGGGCGGCCCGCCCAAGTAAAGTGTATGTGTGGGAAACCCTGGAATCTGATTACAGTAATGCGTTTCTTCGTAGCGCATTACCCCCCAACACTGCAGACTGTGGCCTTCTTCCACAGGGTCAGTACAGCATGCTTAAATCCCACTGCGGTGTGTTGAACTGGGATTATATGTATTTCCACATAATCGTCACAGCACTCAGCCAATGCACCAGTCTAACTATATCCAGCTTTTAATATTAGGTCTTGTAAAGAGATATTCGATATTTCAAGAGACAACAAACAGCTCACCTTCAAAGAGAACAAATATTTGTGCTGCGAAAATGTATCTGTACCTGACATTCCATGCAGTGGTGAAGTCCGGGTTAAGCAGCAACAGAGTGCAGGTGATATCCGCTAAAGCTAAGAGACACACAAACATCAACAGTTAGCTCCTCTGATGTTTATCAGTATGGAGGAGGTTTACGCAAAAGGAAACCGCTTCTATATTAAACTTGCAAACTAGGTTTGTAAAATAAAGTAGCGTTCAAAAGAGTTGTGCAGGAATGAGTTCTAAGACATGGAAATTAGTTAGCATTTTACCACTTTCGATTCCCTTATCTAAAAGTCAACAGTTTTTACGTGTCTTTGGTTCGAACGCTTGAAATATGGTCTGTTGTTTACACAAACTGAAGAGAACTTCAGTTTGTTTATGACATGAAATAAGTCAGTAAACACCCCACTGGTTCACAGCTAATCCTAACAAGTGACTAAATGAGACAGCTAAACGTCCTCACGCTGAACATTAGCCGCCATTAGCTTAGCGGTGGTGATGCTCAGCCATGCAAACATGTTTTAGTTCGTTTATGCATTTAGGATGAAAATGATAAAAGTGGTGCTTATATGTGGAGATATCCCTGCTCATAAAAACATGTAGGTGTCATAAATGCGTGTTTCCCAGAGATATTTTTTACTAAGCAATATTCCGAAGTCCAAGTCCTTTTGTTGAGGAGACCTTCGGATGCTAACTTACTCTGTGCTGTTATCCTGTATTGTTATGTTTACAATACAGGATACCTCAATTACAGCACAATGAATTTTGTGCCATATTAACTCCCTTGCACTTTCTCTTTCTGCACTGTGTCGTTGTGGGGGTATACGTATACTCGTATAGACAATGAAAACAGAGTTCTGGGGCCTCATTTATAAAGCCTTGCGTAGGATTGGCGTGGGAAGGTTGCTTACGTAGGACAAAGCAAATAAATACGCACCGACACTTTCCGAGTCATAAAAGACTGCGTACCGGCACAGGACTTGCGTACGGCACGTCCTACGCCTGTTTCCCTTTAGAAATCACAATCAACTCGAAATGCGGCGCAGCTTTTGCAGGCTTCACGTAACGCCCATATTTGCCTATAAATAGTCAAAGAAACGCCCATTCATTCATTCATTCTGACTGACTGCATGAAGAAGTTCGCAGGAAATGACGATAGAACAGCTAAAAAAGACATCTCACACCGTGTCAGATTTAGGTTCTTTTGGGGAGGTCGAGATAAATCATATTGTTTGGTGGATGCAGTTTGAACCAGAGTAGCAGCATGGAGGTCGGATCGTCACCAAAATAAATAAATAAGTGGTCCGAAAAAAGTTAATGACAAGAAAACTACACATAACCTTACTCAGGCAGTGTGTCAGTGTGTTTGTGCCGGGGACAGGAGAGCCCCTCTTGATGAGAAACTGTAAGAAATGATGGGGGAATCCCTCCGGAGTGGAGTCATGACGACTGGATCTGAATTATTTTGTTGTATTTGGTGGTTTGTGTTCCAGCTGTCGATCAGCAACTATATATCCATAATCCACCAGTTAAAGGAAATACAACTAACGTGTTGTGTTATATTAGCTGTACAATTTACCACATATGGTGTTCTTAGTTTCCATACCTCCTGTGTTTTACGAGCAACTTATCAAGTAGGCTATTGGCGAACGGCATAAAACATGATTAAACGTGATAGTATATAAAACCATGCTCGTATCTGTACAACCTATAGAAATGCAAAACGGCGTCAGTTTAAAGTAATTCTGTCCTTCTGCTTACCGCATCATTTATGAGAATACATTTCTTATAAGAGAACATAATCGAGGGGTGATCAATAACATTTCCGTATTTATTTATTTATTTCTCCAAGTTATGTTTTTGTGTGCACTGAGGAGTCTCAAACAGGCGTTTGTTTAATCATTTTAAGATTGGCTTTAATCAATGTTTGAAAAGGAATTCTTCATATATGATAAATGAGGTAACATTTTATTTATGGTATTATTTCCACATATTTCTCTCCATTCTTCCTTCTGCCAACGGTGTCGCAGTTTCTCGTCTCTCCCGTTTGTGTGCTTAGTGCGTACGCATGGGTCAGAGTTTGCGTGGAGGACCGCACATTTTCCCGTCAAGTTAGTTTTTTATAAATCGCAAACAGTGCGTAGAAACTGGCGTACGCCATCTTTTGAGCGTACGCACCGTTTATAAATGAGGCCCCTGGTCTTTAATCCATCAAAGATATTAATGTTACAATAAGTTAGACAAAATATAATAACATGATTTATTCGTTGTGGCAGATGTTGTGAGAGTTCAGGTACCTTCCCTCTCCAGCCAGTGTTTGCGCTGGCGGTAGAGCAGCAGCTTGTTGTGGACATATGGCAGCAGGAACTTGACACACCAGCTCTCCACACCCAGCTTGTTCTCCACCAGCACGATGGGACTGCGGTTGTAGCGGGCCTCTGGACACGGGATCACACCAATCTCATCACTGAGGGAGCATAGGAGGGAGGATTTTACTAGTTGTATGTGAACATAGAGGAATTGTTCGTACAACACAACATGGGGCTTGAGGCACATTCTTTGTATTTTTCTGACAATTTATAGAAACTATTTCCCCCAAAATGTTCTGCAATAGCTGGGAGAAAGAAGGTGAAATCTGTGTTTGTGGATCTAAAAGAGCAGTCTCACACATCCCATTTAAAACCTTTGAGAACAAAAACACCCAACAATATTAATAAGGTGCAGTCTGATTGAGGCTTATTTATGTCCAATATTATATGAGAGCCATCTTACAATAAAAACATGTTTAACATTGTTATTGTAAATGTATATATTGGAAAAGATACATTTGAATATGATACACCAAGTCCACCATAAAAGTTGAAATAATAAAATGCAATACTAAGGTGTATGGAGAGCTAGTAGATACAATATCATGACAGACTCAATGTTTCTTCTCATCTACGCTACATTAATTATAAATAAAATAATTATCCACATTTCCTAATATTTAGGATAATGGGCTTTTGAAACCATAGAGTATATAACCATAAGTACATATTAAGGTGTTATTTGCACTATAAATAGGTAATAAGATAATACGATAGCTCTTGAAGGCATTTGCCAACACTGACAGCCCGATGCCGGCGTTCCTCTATTAAATTATAGACTGAAGCAGCCCCAGAACACCAAGGAATGGGGAAACAAAAGCTACATTTTCAAAAATGGCACTTTTGATTTATCGTTCTGAATGACTAATCACATCATTGATGAGCTAACGTTGCTGGCCTGGGCAGAAGGTTTTGACAGCCGCCTTACCACGTCAAAGGGCGAGCTAACTGGCTAGACAAACAAACACACTGTTTATTTTGTTATTTAACAGATACATTATATATTTCTAAGAACCTTTTCCAGCTATATATATATATAAGAGAACAAACAAACAGCTAAGCTAGCTAAACTGTCAACTTTCCCTGGACCGCTGTGATTCCAGGTAATAGTCCGAGCCCATGCTGAAAGACTGGGTCAAGCAGTGGTGCGTTCAGGGTCCACTGGATGAGACAGACCGCTCCAGTCTCTCTGCTATGTTCACGATAAATGTACTTACATGTTGGGGTTTCTCTTGAAGGCATTGGTGATGTCTTTGACAACTCGCTGGACCAAGACGTCCACCTCCTCCTCCGACTCCGCCATCTTTATGGCACCTAATGACGTTCACGTTACACGGACCAAACAGTTTTTCCGGTTAAAAAAAACAACACTACGGAAGCCCGGAGAGCTTAAAGGCAAAGCTGCCTAAAAGACTCAGGAGGAGATGGATTGTTATTTACTGCTATCTCTCGCGATGTTTTATCTATGTATAGTACCGGTATTTAATAATGTAAATACAAAATAAATAGTGTACGTTCCGAAGTCCAATGGAAAATCACCATTTTACATTTGACTGATTTGTTCAGTATAGAGCCATTTATTTTGTAAATGTATGTATTGTAGAATATTTTGGCATGAGGTAGAATATTTTTTTTAAATAAAACGGGACAAAAAGTACTCCAGGATAGAGACATTTTTACATATTTAAAGTTGATAGTATGGACGCAAATATAAGTGTTTTGTGCAGTTAATATTATTTTTAGGGAAATGTCATATCCATAAAAAAAAGATGGTCTGACTCTTAACCAAATTGTGCAGATTTTTACCAAGAACTAAAATAATAAAGTAGCACTATTAACAATATTGTGAATAAAAAAGCAATCAAAACTGATTGTTTATTTAACAAATATTGAATCCGAAATATGGAACTGTATTATTTTAATTGTATTTACTTAATGTCATTTGTATTACTTTAAATATCTACCCCTGTTGTCGACTTTTTTGTATACAAAATATATGATGTTCATATATTATGTGCTTGAATAATATAAAAACAATTTGTTCAGTAGTTCCATTAAAACGTTCACATTCAATTATATCATTAACATTTTTTGCATAACCCCTATGGCCTTTTGCTCATTCTGTAATAGCTGTTCTGGCTAGTCACTGCAGATGGGCCTCAAAGCACTACACATTGTGGTTCAGTTGTGCATTTTCCAAAAACAAGAGTTCACTTCATCACTTAAAGGTGGGGTATGTAATTTATTTCAGAAACACTTTTTGTTATATTCCATGGAATGCTCTTAACATCCCGATAGCAATGAATATATTAAATGCTTTGACAATAAATACATTAAAAAAATGTCATCTGTGGAAGCCGTAGCGCTGTAAAAAGCACGACCAATCATTTTAGCCGGCCCGGCTAAAATAACTGGATGGCCTACCTGGGGCCTATACGACGAAGCAGGATTTTTGTTTAGCAAGCTAACTTCAGGGGTTTCCGGTCCTACAAAGCTGGTTCACTTTTTAGCGGGCTAGATAACTTATTCTGAACGGCTAGCCTCCGGAGCAGGATAGGTTCCAGGATAAGAGATCAACTCAGTGAAAGCACCGCCTGCTGAGCTCAGTGTGCGGAGGAAATACAGTTTAAACTGCCGTTGCAGGAAAGACGGCCGGCCAAAATCACCGACTGTGTGAACGAGAAAATTAATAGAATATCACCTCCCATCTTCAGAGCAATCTGACTATTAGCCTATAACTATTATACTATTATTATACTATTATGTTAAGAAAGCTTAATTAAATATCTGCCACATCATACAGATGGAGCATCTTATTTCAGACAGTTTGAAACGCGAGGGTCGTGATTGGTCCGTGATTGGTCCGTGATTGGCCCGTGATCGGTTCGTGATGAAGAGCCGGCCCCCAGTCTGACTTGATACCGCCCCCGTGATTTAGTCGAAAAAAACGAACGAGAGGAAATGCAGCCGGCTCTCGATTTTTAATCCTAATTTAATCATCATCTTCACCACGATCATTTATGTTTATGTTCGCCGAATTGACATGAAATCACTGACAAATATGAATATACTGTATTCAACTTCATTAAAATGTTATTAACGTGCCTAAACTCAGTAATTCACTAAAAATATTTATATTTTAATTGGGCCTTGTCAGGCAGATCAAGATCCCGACGCGTAGCGGAGGTGTCCCACATCCTGGGGATTGTGTTTACAAACATTGACCATACCGTTCACCATCCCCCACCCCCCTACTGTATGTTGATTTTTGACTTTGTTTAGAGCAGTGAATTCTCTTTCTCTCTGCAGCAGAGAGCTAAGCGCTGTCAGACCAGACCTAACCCTAACCCTGAAAAGTATTATCATCTGAAAGTAAAATGAATCATTATGTTATTAGTATTAAATACATATAAGTATTTTTACAACTTGTATTTAGAAATACTCTGTTGTAATTATTGATGCATAAATGTGTTCATCCATTCAATGTGGCATCTGCTATAATGGGGTTAATGTATGATATTACTTAATAATACAATACACTATATAATATATGATATGATAATAACATTTTAATTTGATTCATTTCTTATTTCATAGTTTCTCTTCATTATTATAACAGTTCTGTTTCATATGAGTGTTGAGAGCTGTATCCATAAATCTCTTAATTTTGCCCTCAAAGTGCACCAGATTGATGCATTTAACTTCAATATAAAGAAAAACATCTTCTGTTGTAACAACAATAACATTATAAATAGTAACATAGCTGAACATGGTATTGCACATTTAGCTTTGAGTGTTACTGACCTGAGATACTGAAATTAAATGTATTCTGTAGATTTTGGGGATTCATTAATGCATTTATTGCCATCACCATGCTTTTTCAAGACTCTTTTAAATTCTATCATTTTATAAGGACTTTGCAGATGTCTGTCAAGTCGCTGCAAATTACGGTAACTCCTTCTGACGTCATAGCTACCCACGTATAATATATAAACAAAGTCTTGGCTTTCAGAATATGAAACTTTTATTTCCAAAATCACACGATAAATACATTTGTGAAGCTTGTAAAGGGAAGATGACAGGCACCTCACTCGCAATCTGCTCCTCAGCAGCGCCGCACCCCTCCCTCCGGCTGAAATTATGAATGTACAGTAAGGCATAGTAATCATAAATAACACGGCAGGGTCCGTTACAGTTTGTTTTCATCTGATTTCAAATAAACAAAGTCTTGGCTTTCAGAATATTAAACTTGTTTCGGCAAATTTAGATGATAAATACAACTATGAAGCTTGTAACGGCATAATTACTTAAGCGGAGAACGGAGTAATTTAACGTTACAGCAGGCATAACAACAGCCGGTGTTTATTTTATTATTATATATAGTCGTTATTCATTTGTTTTAAAGCTCAATAAGGAAGATTTAAACTTTCACACACGTTGACCGGCGAAAAACTCTGCCCTCGGTTCCCTCGGCCCCCACCACGTTGATTAAACAGAAGGCTGCTTTTGTGGAGGAAGTTACAGCGCTACGTACAGGCTCGGCATATGCAGCTTTTTCCAGCGGTATCCATAAATCTCTTAATTTTGCCCTCAAAGTGCACCAGATTGATGCATTTAACTTCAATATAAAGAAAAACATCTTCTGTTGTAACAACAATAACATTATAAATAGTAACATAGCTGAACATGGTATTGCACATTTAGCTTTCAGTGTTACTGACCTGAGATGTTTTTATTACATGAATTAAGGTGACTGAGGCTTTTTAACATAGACTTTTCAGTGTCCCACATACCCACATACCGTTCACCATCCCCCACCCCCCTACTGTATGTTGATTTTTGACTGTTTGCCTACATGTAAATGGGTGGCATTTAGTACCTACCCCCCTCTGACTGAATACCTGTTGTACCTGTCCGGGGCTAAGCCCATAGGACGATGCTCTGATGTCATCACCCTCGCACATTTGTCATATGTTTACAAAAAACGATGTTAACACTTTCTCGTTCTTAATATATGCTATATTTAGGGTCGATATGTGTTGAATTTACTTTAAAATAGCAGATCACTGTGACCGGATATAGTTTTTTCGGCTTAGTGAACGTGTGTCTCTTCCTCCGCGGCTCCTCCGTGCAGAGAGTTTGTAGCGGTGTGTGTCAGCAACGTGCAGTCAGGGGAGGCACGGATTGGCCGTCGGGAGAGTCGGGACTTATCCCTGGCCAGCTGTGAGTTCTGGAGAATCACAGAACGGCCGGACGCCAACGGCCCGGTTCGCTTACGGCTGACAACACTTTTGCTATTGCTCTTGGGGCATTAAAAACAAGATTTTAACTTTAGTTTTTTATATAATATCTGCATTTTCTCTTGTGAAAAACTAAGTCTTAGTTTGGCCACAGTTATTGAATATATAAAGACTATATATTATTGAATTACAAGATTAGATATACTTTATTTGATCTAAAATATTGATGTGTTCAAATGCTCTTCTAAACAAAACTAAAAGTCCATGAAAGTTCTCTTCCTGTTTTTGTGAAGGAAGCGCCATCTCCTGGTTAAATCCTGAAATTGAAAATCTGGCAACGCCCTCTTGGAAAATAGTGGGAGGGCTTAACATTCCCAGATACTGGTCTTTGGCAGGTCTTAGGCAGGTAACTGGCAGGTAGTAGGCAGGAAGCAGTAAGCTGGAGTCTGAAATAAGATGCTCCATCTGTAAGTAACCGGATCAAAGTAACATTACGTACAGTCCGCGGCACTGTGAGTGCAGACGTCGATGTGTCCCATTATCATTCATATCACATCATAATGCATCATATATTTCCTTATCTGAGTCAGCTTCTTGAGCCGTATCTGGCCGTGCAACACTCACAGTGTCACATACTGTATGCAGAAGTATTATTTTAAGCAACACATTAAGTTGACGAAACACTTGAGTCAAATGTAATTCAAGTCAGATCCACTCGTGTCTTAGACGGGGCAGTGATATCATAAACCTGTTAATGTACGCATTCAAACACTTTTTCTTTTACCAGCTGTATTCACCTTGCAGGTGCAGCTATGTGGCTTTTATCCTGGATAAAGTGTTTAAGTCATGGATGTTTAAAGTTTAACTTCTTCATATTTGACTAATATTATAATTGACTTTTCATTCAGGAAGTATGACGCTGCGCTGTCAGAACGCTTCTCCATGTTTGTGATTGGTCGAATGCTCCAGATACCACCCATTTTATGTGAACGCGCACCTAACTAGATAGGACACGGCTGGCTTGCGATCAAGTTGATAGCCAGCGTCGTAGGACAGTTTAGCGAGA